GCAAGGGTGAAGGGTGGCCTGGGCTGCCGCCCCCTGGTGATAGCCTGCCTGGGCTCAGGCGAGTTGAGACCTGCTCTTTAGCCCTCCCCCCAGCATCCCGGGCATGTTTCTAGAGGCCACTCTGCCGGACCCGTTCTTGCCATGAGGTCAGCGAGGAGGAATGGGGGCCGACCTGCTGGCCACTACTACCTTCTAAGTGACCCTGTCAGCCTTCATTAAGCACCCACTACGTGCAGAGCCCCGTACTTAAACCGCATGCTGGGGAACCCAGAGATGAGTCAGATGTGGGCCTCTCTTGAGGGTGCTACAGACAGTTTCCAAAGCTGAGGGGAGAGCTCTGTGCTGAGATATCCTGGGGCCCAGAGAGAATATCCTATTCAGATGGGAGGGCCAGGAGGACTTCCTAGAGGAGGCAATATCTGAGCTGTGTCTTAATGGAGTGAAATGAACCTGCTTTGATTCATTTAAACTTCACAACAGCCCAGATAGGTAGATTGTGGCCCCAGCTTGTAGTTGAGGAAGCCAAGGTTTAAGGGAAAACAGTAAAGCCAGGATTTTTTCCCACTCATTTGTTCAATCATTCCTTTACACAATAATTTAGTACTGACAATTGGGCACTGCTCAAGGGCTTCCACCTTCCCTCCAAATCCCCTCACCTCTGCAGTGACATCCACTAACTCCCTGTGGCCTGTTTCTGAGTCCTGCAGGGGTCCTATTACTCCACTGGCCCTAGCACTTGCTGCAGTCAGCCCCCCAACCCTCATCCAGAATATTAGTGTGAAGATCCTCTCTGGCCTGGGCCCAGCAGCCCCCTTGGGTCTCCAGCTGCCGTGGGCACTTGAACAAAATCCATGTGGCCAGATCTTGGTCATATCCACTGCCAGGTCGGACGCTGGGGAGCACAGATGTGGCAGGTGTGGAAGGTTCTGACCCTGAGACACCTGGGGGTGGGGGGAGTTGGGTGGCACTTGGCTCCTGCAGGGTCCTTTCTTGAGAGCCACTCAAGACTGACTCCTCACATCACTGGGCTCCCCTTACTGGACCTCAGCCTCAGCTCACCAGGGAGGCTTCCCACTAGGGGGACCCCCGCCCCTGTTGGCTCATCCCTTTGAGTACATCTCCCTCTCTCTCTCTCCCCAGATGCCCTCTCCTCTTCTATACGCCAGAAGCCTTGATCATTAGCAACACTAGTGGCTCCCCTTTCTATCAACCCTTGGGTCACACGGTCCTCGGTAGGAAGCAAGATACTCACTTCCTCCACAACCTAGATTGAATCTTAACACATTGAAGAAAAATAAGGGAAACGGAACAACTAAATTTACAACATTAAAATGGACTGACCTTTCCTACCCACGAGAGCCCCCTACCCAGCCCTGCCCACTCCAGGCTGCACAGGTGACCTGGCCCGGCACTGCTCACCTCTGCCAGGGTGGCCTCACTCTAGCCCTCAGACCAGGTCTGAGCCCTGGGGACATGACAATAGGAAAGGTAATGGGGAGTCGGTTTCTCTAAATTGAACTTATTCAATTTAAAGCCTTTTTCTGAGGGTATGTATGTGTTAAAATGTCCTTTATTTTATGAAATCATGGCAATAGTATAAAGTGTTTTGTTTTTTTAAATCACTACTTAAAAATATTTTTTTAAAATAGAATCATTACTGCTAGAATTAGAATTTGGCAGCTCTGCGTCTGTTCCCAAAATTAGGGGGCAATAGCTGGGTGATGGGTATGTGGGCATTCATTATTCTTTTCTCTCTACTGTTGAATAAGTCTGAACATATTCACATAATTTTTTAAGTCCAGGTGGATTGAAATTTTAAACATTAAAAATTAAACCATAAACTTTTCTCTCTACTGTTGAATAGGTTTGAACATATTCACATAATTTTTTTTTTAAGTTTAGATGGATGCTGAGGCCAATGCAAAGGTTCAAAGTCACTCTCCTGCTTAAAGCCTGTCAATGACTCCCTATGGCCCTCAGGGGACAGGCTGAGTTCAGATGCCTCCACTTCCTCCAGGAAGTCCTCCTGGACTTCAACCCTTCCAGTTAGGTTAGCTCATCATAATTGGAGACTTTTGGGGCCCACTTAAGTTGGGCGAGGTACTACATTATTTCATGTAATTACAGTGCACATGTCCCTGTGACCCTCCTCAGAGTCTGGGATGGAAGAGCCTGAAGCACGTACCGGCAAGTTCTCTGATGATGAATGAGTGAAGGGATCTCTGTGTGTGGCTGGGCTCTCCGCAGGCTCTCTGGAGGGCAGGTCCCAGCCCTCACCCAGCCTCAGACACCACCCCCTGTCCAGGGGTGTCCTGCAGCCACTCCCATGCTCCTAGGTCTAGTTCCTGGGTCTGCCCCTCTGGCCCTGCGCTATTCCAGTAGCACAGCTCTGCTGCCCTTGCTCTAATCTGTCCTTTCTAACCTGTGGCCAGTCCTAAACATGCCCTTCTTGCTCAGGTTTTCCTTGCCTTCTGTCTCTGAGCACAAACCCGAAGTTACTTGGCTTATCCTCCAATGCCTCTCCCCCAGACCTGGGTCACCCCCACCGGATCATCTGACCAATGGACATTCTGCTCACGCCTTCTGCAGTTCTCTCCACCAGGCATGGCGGTTCCCCTGCCCAGGCTATCTGTGCATTCCTTCTTTCCCAAACCCTCTGCGCCAGCACACCTCCTGAACTGGTTTCAATCTTGACCGTGTATGTTCCTCATGAGCCCAGTGGCCTTCCCCTAGAGGCTCTGGGCAGCAGGATCAATGCAAATAACATCTGCCCTTGGCTGCTACCTCCCTAGAGGTCCAGCACCCTTCAGCACTCACGGACACAGGTGAGTGAGTATTAGCGGTACTTTACAGATAAGAACTGGAGAGTCTGAGAGGTCAGATCACCCAGCCAAGCTTACTCAGCTGATACGGGCCACACCTGGTGTCTGAATGCTTCCTGGGTTTCTGTTAACTAATCTGTAAAATGGAGATGATAGTACTGTACTGTCCTGGAGCTACCAGCCACAAAGTCTTTCTAGAGAGTCTGCCTCAGGCTCTGCTGAGGGAGTGAGCTGGGGGAGGGGGATGTTTGTACCAGAGGCCCAGCTTCCCAGGCAGTGGCATGAACTCAGCTCCATTAGGTTTCATTCTCCCTGCTGTTTGGCATGGGGACTCAGAGAGCCTAAGCCCGTGAGATGGAGGGAGCTCGGGCCAGCTGGGGGTGATGCAAAGGATGAAGGTATGGGTGCAGAAAGATGCTGAGCATCTGGAGAGCAATCTGGTGGCCAACTCCACTGGTCCTGCCCTCCCTACCCCCAGTGGCCAAGTTATGTCACTTTTTTCAGGATGCAGCTTGGGGACGTTCCACAGTAACCATGCCTTGCCTTCCTTGAGCTTGAGTGGCTATCCCTGACCGAGCCAGCACCACTAGAATGAGCTGCCCCAAAGATTGGGAGACCACCAACCTCCCTGCATGGAGCCCCCATTATGACTCCAGGCCTGGTGCCTAAGTGAAGTCTGGGCATTGAGGAGTGTTGGTTTCTCCTTGGCGTGGTGGCACTGTCCCCAAGGCCCTGCACCATGCAGCCACCTCTGCCACCTCCAGTCCCTGCCATGTCCCTTTCTCACCACAACCCTACCTCCTCGCCTGCCTCTCCAACGCCCGGCTTCCGGGTCTCTGGTCTCTCTCCCTGCCACCTGGACCCAGGAGCCCATGGCTCTGCCTTTCCTGTTAGTGGGTTGAAATGCCACCTGCTCAGGAGGGACCCCCACCACTCTGCGGCCTGTTACTCACATGGAGTGTCCGCCCGTCAGAGCCAGGACCCTCTGCTCCCCACGCGCCCTCGCAGGCTGGGCACTGAGCAGATGCTCCCGGGAGGGCTGCCCAGGGGGCAGCGCACGCCTCCCCTAGCGCATGCGCACTCGCGGGTGTGCGATGCTGCGTGCTGCCCAGCTCCGGCTGGGCTTCGCCGGACCCTCACCTGGCCTGGGCTTCTCAGCCCTGCCGCCACCTTCCGCCCTCCCGTCGATTTACTCGGGACTCGGGACAGCGCCTCGCATCTATTTAGAAGCCAGACAGGTCATTGGAAAGTGCCCAGGATGGGCCAAGGCAGGCTCTTCTTCTCTGTCCTGGCTCCTCTCCCCCCTCCCCCGCCCCCCGCCCCGGGGAGCCCGCGCACAGGATGGGGAGCCCGGGAGAGCATTTCGGAAGAGGCTCCAGTGTAAATCCTTCCGTAAGACAAAAGGGTCGCCCGGCCAGCCAGCTTCCCTCGAGAGGATGCAGGCACAACTAACTGGGGGCGCGGGCCCCTCACCTGAGCCCCAGGGGTGATCTCACCCGTCCTTCACCTTGACCTCAACTCCGAACACGACCCACCACTTTGTAGGAAAGGGACCAGGACAGACGCACTCCCCTACTTCTTCTGTAAAATTCAACCGTGGAGAATGCGGGCATCGATCCCGCTACCTCTCACATGCTAAGCGAGCGCTCTACCATTTGAGCTAATTCCCCAGCTCGGGCGGGCCCCGCCGCCGGAACGCCTTGTGGCTCACGTCATCACGGGTCTCCTCCGGGCCCGCGGATCCGCCCGCCCGCCGGCCTCGCCGCCCCATTGGTCCTCTCGCTGCTCCCAGCTCCGCGGCCAGGATTGGTTTGGCTCCACCGAGTTTTAAACAGCGTTGGCTATCGGATTGGTGGCCCGAAACATCCGTCAAGCGGAGGCCCTGCTGTTGCTACGGCGTTAGGGGGACCCAGCCAGGTTTCTCCGGGTTTCTGATTTGTTTCTCCAGACTCCGGGGTCCTAGAGGTTCCGGATCCGTCAAGTCCATGGGAAAAGAATGCTCCCTCACATTTGACTGACGGGGCCCAGGGGCCAATCGGAGTGGGCGCAACCGGGCCGCGGGGCGACCCAATAGGATGCAGGGGGCGGGAGAGGAAGGCCAATGAGCGCGGGTCTGGGGGCGGAGACTGGGCAGCGATTGGCTGCGAGGCGGCCGAGGGAGGGCGGGGGGAACTCAAGGCCTGCTTGATACGTCCGCCATTTTGGGCGCTTCGCTGATGGTGTCGGTGAGCGCGTTTCCCGCCTGAGCGCAACTAGCGGCGGGTCGCGGGCACCTCCAGGTAATGGGGGTGGGGGGGCGGCGGAGCGGGCTGCGGCGCGGGGTGCGTGGGGCGCGCGGCGCGCGGGCGGCGGCGGCGGCGGCGAGCCCCGTCCGCCCGGCCTCGGCGGCGCGGGGAGGGAGCGTCCCGGCCCCCTCCCCTCCCCCCCGGAATTCGCCGCTCGGCGGCCGTGGAGGTGCGGCGCCCGGGCTCCCCGGCCCGTCCCCGCCCGCGTCTGTCAGCCGCCTGCCCGCCCGCCGCGGGGCGCGGGGGGCCTCGCCGGGCCGGGCGCCGGGGCGGGCCGCGGGCCGGCAGCGAACTTTGCGCCCGGGTTGACGTCCGCGGCCTTGCGCGGCGGCGGCGGCGGCGGCGGGCGGGGCGCGCCCCTCACCCGGCCGGGCCCGGCCCCTCTGCGGCCCCGCCGCCTGCCCGCCCGCCCGCCCGCCCGCCCGGGACAACTTCTCTGGGCGCGGGCCCGGGAGCGTGTCAAGTTGAGGCGGCCGCTCGCAGCAGACTGGCGCAGGCCATTGTTGGACTCGGTGCTGCGTGGAACAAGTTCTGTGGGGCTCTGCTCTTCCGCCGCAGAGCCCTCGGCACACGCGGAGCCCAGCCCCGAGCGTTTCCGCAGCCTTCCGAGCGGCGCTTTTAACTCCGGTGTTGGGACTCGAATGTAGACCTGGTCACGGACGCCTCCCTGGCGAATATGAGCGAGGGGGGTGGTCCTCCGCGCGGCTGGAAGTACCTCCTCTTAAAGAAGCCCATCCGTGGCGAACTCGCAGGGCTTCCTCCGCGCGCGGCGTGCTCTCCTCGCAGCCTGCGCTGTGGGTTGTAGGTGCACGAGATGAGCCCATGGCTGTTCCCCTATGTCCCGACGGCTCAGCCTCAGCTTCCTATCGTTGCCTAACGTTTTCTCTCTGGGTCGGCTGGAGCTTTGTTTATGTTTTGCTTTTATGGGAGGGGCACTTGGTGGTGGTTTCCTTTCGTCCCCACGGCCCTTGTTAACGTGGATGTTGTTCCACTTTGTGACCACGTGAACTTTACTTTGATTTATGTCCTCAAGGTCATGTGGCAGGTAGGCAGCAGCAAGTGGGGAAAGGAACACTGGATTTCCAGCCACGGGAATAAACGTCTCCTAAGAGGTGCTGGTGTTTCCGCTTTCTTTACTGCGAAGTTAGGCTTTCCCGGACTCAGGTCTTGGCTTCACCACTTTCTAGCCCAGTGACCTTGGACAAGTGCCTCCACCTCTCTGCTTTCCCTGCAATGTGACAATAATAGTAATAGTGTCAGCCTCGTAAGTGTGTTGGGAGTAAATGGGCTACAAACGGGGCCTGGCCTGTAGGATCAGCTTAGTGCAATTAGTGGCTATTACTACTTGAACTTTGATTTTTCAATGTTTAGTATTTGGAAGCTAGGTGAGTGTTTGTGACTTGGTGACTATCTTCAGAAAGCTCTGTGTATTTGTTTATTTAAAGATTTTATTTATTTATTTATTTATTTATTTATTTATTTATTTATTTATTTATTTATTTATTTATGAAAGACAGAGAGAGAGAGAGAGAGAGAGAGAGAGAGAGAGGCAGAGATACAGGCAGAGGGAGAAGCAGGGGCTCCATGCAGGGAGCCTGATGTGGGATGTGATCTTGGGACTCCAGGATCACGCCCCAGGCCGAAGGCAGGTGCCAAACCACTGAGCCACCCAGGTGTCCCAGCTCTGTGTATTAGTTCTGCTGAGAAAGTGAACTGGAAGTTATTTTAATTTTTTTCAGAAGAGGGGTGGTTGAAGATTCATTAAATAACAGATGTTTCTGGGAGCAATAAATGAGTGGTGGTGCCTTACGATGTTTCCTCTAAGAGGTGGTTAAATAAAGAAAAGCCCATCAAAAGCTTGGGTTAGATTCTGTCCTTGGGATACTAGGTCTTGAGTGTGATTGGTCCCCATATCAACTCCAAGATTTCTCAGGGTACCTCTGGGTTATTGAGGTTTGAAAGGTTGTTGTGCATTGACATATACTTCAGTGAAACCAGTTTGGGAGATAACTGTTGTCCTGCATGGATGCTTTGGAAGCTGTTTTGCCTTTCAGTGTGTCTGATTATGGAGTTCTGCAGTATCTAACAAAATGCCATTCACTCAAGTTACACCTAATACTCAGTCTTCAAATTCCTGCCCTATGCTCTTTTTCCTGGTACTCAAAACCATGCTTGCCGGTCCTTTGGTATTATTGCTTGGGATCTGGCTTGCTTTATTTGCACTGGGGAAATGTTTTTAGGCAGTTGTAAGTAGAAGTGAGCATCTTGCTGGTATAACTTAAGAACAGGAAGAAGATTGTTTTGGATTAGAAAACTATAATTTTTATGTGAAGTGTAGCAAGACAATGCAAAAACTTACAAGTTTGAATTAAGTACTTGAGAATATGAAAATCAGACCATAGCTGGACAGAAAACGAATGGTAATTAGATTAAGATTTGTGGGACACCTGGGTGGCTCAGTGGTTGACAGTCTACCTTTGACTCAGGTTGTGATCCCAGACTCCTGGGATCGAGTCCCACATCAGGCTCCCCACAGGAAGCCTGCTTCTCTGTTCATGTCTCTGCCTCTCTGTGTCTCTCGTGAATAAATAAAATCTTAAAAAAAAAAAAAAAGATTTGACATGGTGAGATTTGCTTCTTTAAGATAGTTTTTGCATCAATTTGGTATAAAAGTAATGTGCTCATAGCAGACAAAAGTCCCCGCCCCCCAGTTTGTATTGGAATTGCAGTTAGTTGCAAGAATCTCTTCCTTAAAACAGTATTTGTCAGGATCAGTATTTAGTTTGTTACTGTCGTGAACTTGTGTCTTGCAGTTTTATATTTTGGATATTTGAGAGGCAGCATGAGAGTATATTGGTCTAAAATTTTACAATGTTTTAATACTCCTAAGAAGAATAAATGCTAGTAACAATGAAGTTCTAATCATCTGCTCACCTAAAACTCAGCGTTTAGTTTATTTGATAAAAAGCACAAGAAGTTTTGGTTTGGTCTTCATAAGTCAAGATCTGAGTCCCCATGTGGGCAGAGTAGTTTGTTAGTTACTTAGGTCAGGTGGACTGAAGAAATAGGTCTGGGCTCTTAGCTTTAAGCAGCTTTCTTTCTTTCTTTTCTTCTTCTTTTTTTTAAGATTTATTTATTTATTATAGAGGGGGGTGGTGCAGAGACACAGGGACACAGGAGGAGGGAGAAGCAGGCTCCATGCCGGGAGCCCAATGTGGGACTCGAGCCCGGGACTCCAGGATCGTGCCCTGGGCCAAAGGCAGGCGCTAAACCGCTGAGCCACCCAGGGATCCCCTAAGCAGCTTTCTTATTTCTTCTTTATTTTTTTTTAAATTTTTATTTATTTATGATAGTCACACACACACACAGAGAGAGAGAGGCAGAGACACAGGCAGAGGGAGAAGCAGGCTCCATGCACTGGGAGCCTGACGTGGGATTCAATCCCGGGTCTCCAGGATCGCGCCCTGGGCCAAAGGTAGGCGCTAAACCGCTGCGCCACCCAGGGATCCCCCTTATTTCTTCTTTAAAGAATGTCAGGTAATTGGCTTTTTAAATTTACTGTAGATAGATGTTAACTAACTCGGGGGTGATTTGCCCCCAAAGAAACATTTGGCAATGTCTGGAGACATTTTTGCCTGTCATACCTGTGGGGATGGGCAATGTGCAACTTGGGTAGAGATCAGGGATGCTGCTGGACATCGTATAATGCACAGGATAGCACCGAAACATAAAATTATCCAGCCCCAAATATTAATAGTGCAGAAACTGAGGAGCCCTGTTCTAGATAGAGGGTAGGCTGGCTTGCATTAGAATCATTTGGGACATTTTTAAGACCATGGATGATGGGCTCCACTTCTGGAAATTTTTGGTGGTATTGAGAATATATTTTTCGGAAGCTCCCCAGGTAATAACTGAAGTATAGCTAGGTTTTGGAACTGCTCTGCAAGACCACAGATATTAGTGACTACTTGTGGGTCAGGGAATCCTTCAGGTGATCTGTGAGCTCGGTCTCTTGTGGTCCCTAGATCCTGTCTTGGAGATTACTTCGTAGTAGGGAGAGACAGTATACATGTTGTTTTCAGGTGCCTAAAGACTGACCTTTGAAAGAAATTTTAAATGAATTGATTGCTTGATATAATTTAGAAACTTTTTTGCCTTTATCTCATGAAAATACATTACCATATTGTGCTGAAACTTAGCACTCTTGGGTGTTTAGGGTTGTTTGCTCTTATGTGTAATAACTTTATACCGTGATTTTTGAGTTTTATATCCTGTGCTTTCATCCAGTCAGTCAGCTAGCTGTCAGTTCTGTTTTTAGATGCCAGCTTCATCATTATCTTTTTTTTCTTTTGTAATGAAGACCTATTTCCAGAGAGTTAGCCCAGGATCCATTTGCCAGTTTTGTCTTTTGAAGGCAAGAGAGGCATACTTCATGCTTCACGTTTAACACAGACCCTTGCTTGCTAGTAAAAGGGGCTCCTCTGGGCCCTGGACTCTGGCCCAAATGGGTGAGTATTTTTTCCTTCTGGAGGGGGCGAAGACGGAGAGGGATGAGGTGCAGTAGTAGAAAGGCAGATGTCCTTTTCTCACACATACTTACAATTTAGATCGTCCGGTTTATTGAATGGAAGAATATTAGTTTAAGAACTATTAAAACTATACAAATTTTCAGCAACTGGAATGTTAGTATCTGAATATATAAAAGGGAGACAATCGTGGAGGCCTTTCTAATCTTTCATCCTGAAATTCAGCTTATGGCTGTTGTTGAGAATGACAAGCTACCCCTCCCCTACCAACTTCTTCTAATCCAGATCATTTATTTGATCAGCAAATATAGTAATTGAATCCTTACTTTGCCAGGAACTGTATTAGGGATTCACTCATGAACAGGCACTTAAGGACTTGCAGTTTAGAGGGAAAGGTAGCAATTAGGAAAGGGATGCAGTTTTGGCTGGGAGGCCATGTAACAAAGCTTGTTAGAATTGTACTTGGTG